AGAATAAGTCCTTACCTATTTGGATGTTCTCATCATTAGAGAAGAGAGTGAGTTAAGAAGAGATGTTTATGGGAAGCCAACATATGTTGGCTCTCTGCTTAATTTTCTTTCCAACCATAGCTACAAGAGTAGAGTTGGAATCTTGAAGTCAATGATTATTAGAAGAATGAGGATAGCGAATAACAAACACTTGATTATTGAGTTCGGAGGGCTGACAAATTTATTCCTTGAAAATAATTATCCTGTGGGCATTATTGAGAATAATATCTCTCTCCTAAAGAATACATTTTCAAAAGGAGACCATTTAGTCAAAGATAGACAGCCTAAGACCTTTTACCATGTTCTAATTTTTCCGTCATGCCTTCTTTAAAAAATATAGGCGAATTAGTAAGAAAGTGAGGGATAAAAATTGAGTTCAAAGAAATCCTCACACTTTATCTTTTTATGCAATTTATTAGAGAGAAATAAGAACCATTATTGAGGTCCGGCTGCTACAAGATTGTTTGCTCATGTGGTCGATGTTATGTTATCGAGATATGCCGACCTATTCGACAAAGATTAAGTGAACACAAAAACGCTTTAAGCTAGGTCTAACGCTCAGAAGTGGCCGAACACATGGTATAAACTGGACATGAAATAGAATGTTGTCAAACTAGTAGATTTGCTGATTATGGTACGTCTGTGGTTAAAAGAAAGATAGAAGAGGCTATTGAAATTAGTAGCATATGAAATACGTTAAATGTGAGGAACGGTAATAGAAAGTTGAGTAGGAACTACTTATGCTTGATTGATAGATTGAAGGAGAGAGAGGATGTTGAGCCGCTGTCCAAAAAAGGCGACTCAATTTCTCTTAATGGTGATGGTTCTAACTTCACTCAACCCTTCCAACATGTTAAATTAAGCTCATCAACCAAACCAGCCGTGCCCTACCTATTACACAGCCACAGTCATGCCCTACCTTGGGGGGTTAAACGTTAATGACGCTAGACTGAGAGGTTAGGGCAAGCGGTTTCGTAACTTGACTTACATGCTTGCAAACTCTTATCTCATTCTCTCAACCATACTTGCTAACTGACTTACGCAGTCTTGGTCAGGGCCTTCTCTTGAGTCATTAGGGCTTGATGATCAGAGCCTGACATTAGCCTTTTGATAACTATGATTTAAGACCGGTACTGAGTATAGAGGCTAACGCACACCCATATACACACACGCACACACTCGATCAAAAGTATAGGGACCAGTATAAAAGATAATTAACCAAATCACTCTATATTTATCTAGGTTTTTTATTTTATTTTGGCTCAGTTGAGTCTATATAAGATTTAAGATAGATCCGGATAATCTTCTTGCCCTAGTGTTAACGTGAGACCTTTAAATGAATGAGTCTCAGCTCTGATGATGTCCATCATGTGATGGAAGAAATCTCAGCCCGTTTTCACCCAAAAAGAGGGCGGACGTCTCATATACTGCGTCAACCTGAACGTCGTATAAAAGCCAAACGGCTGTAGTACAAAGGATCTATTCGTCCTCTTCTGTTGAGATCGACCTACGAAGCTCTTCTTCATGCACTTTCATAGGAAATTTAAGCCCCCCTACAATGTTATCTTAGGATATTTATCAAAACCCAGTTTCTCTTCGTATATACAGGAAATATCCTGCCTAATCTGCAATAAATTACTTATTACATGTATGATAAGTGCTGTATGCTAAGCTACTAGCTAGATTAAAATATTAGTATGGCAATGAATTTAAAAACCTCGATAATATCGATTATATTTTTTATTTATATGGAAGTGTAAATTATTTATAAAATAGAGAACAGCCCTCAGTATTGAGTTAAAGTATAAAGATTTCAAAATTGCCCAATTTTCGGCTATCAAAAATTAACACTATTGCTAAACTAACATATACTATACCGCATATTTGTCAAGCCGTCCCATAGAGATTCTTACCCGAAATCCCTTCATACTCTTACTTCAACTTAGATTGAATCGGGTTGTCTAAGGTGGCGAAATAGACATCATGGGTCAGACAGCCTATAGTTTTCTTTAGAATGATTTCTGATAACTGATTGTGATTCACCACCAGCCGACTCTTGCACAATAGGTATGTCATCGGGAACCTTGTGAGTACGAAAATTGGCGTTTGTAATGACGTTGCATAGACGTGCTCTAGCGACAGCAGTTTTTGGTGAAGTGGATGTGTAAGGTCTTTTACCACTGCCTGCAAAAGCGTCTGGAAATTTCGCAGCTGTCAGACTATTCCAATACCCGCAGCAGGCACTGTCCAGGGAGATCTGTTTAGCTGAATCAAAGCGGAATCCTTGCTCTGGCATGAGAGCCAGGTTTGCATTAGCCTTCTTTTTCCCTATAGTATAAGAGCCAGAGGAAAATTTCCGATTTTCACCTCCAATTGAAGTTAAATCTGGGCAGAGATTTGACTCTAAGTTGAACAAGTGGATAGTCTGCCAGGGCGGAAGATTTTCACCTTTCGGCAGATATGCCATTTGGTTAGATTGATTATCTTGTCCAGCATAAGATAGAGTGTTAGTAGTCTGCTGCTCAGGAGTGATTGATTTTTCTATCGGTACTTCGTTCTGCCGTTGAATCGAGGCTGAAAAAGGGGTATCTAGTTTGGAATTTAATATAAATCCGTGCTTTATGGCGTTGATCAAGAGGATAATCTGTGGGGAAAAAATATGCGAATAACAAATTGGCAAGAATTGGATAAAAATATCTATTATGAAGATGCCAAAATATCCAGCAGAACCATTGTAAAGAAATCAAAAAATGCTGATTTACTTAAAAAGTATTGGCATCCATAAGCCAAAGAAATCTTATTTCTTATTTTGCTCAATAATATTAGCAGTGTATATTCGAAGACCAAAATGGTGTGGCTTTCTGTTTGGTCGCAGTCTCCTTTATAGTGTTGGTCTAACCTCGTTTTCGTAATCTGGTCGGGGCGTCAGGGACACCCCGTGGAACGTACGTAGTCTTGTATCATCTGCCATAATATTCTTGATTTCCAGCTTCATCCATGGATTTAGTACATTCCCAAATGTTTCGCTGGAATCGTAGTCAGTATCATCAGTGAAAGGCGCCATCGCTAGCACAGTTACAACTTATCAAAGTGACAAGTGAAGGCAATCCTCTTGACCAATTTTCTGCTTAACCGTTAGCAGTGGTTTAATAGCATGAATACTCATATTAATATACTAACTTATAACGCTAAAAAACTTTTATAATAACGTTGAATAGTTTAAAAGGACACACACAGCGACATCCAGTATTACTAAAATCGTGGATTAAGAGACCTACTTTGTTTTAATATCTATACATTCACCATTACTAGCCAACTGGTTAGGTGGATTTCAGTATGTCTTACAATTTGATTCACATGACGCGGTTTTGAACTTTTTCCATACCTTAAGGAAGTAGACACTACAATCCAAACTCGATGAGAAAGGCCAAACATATGAAGGGGCTTCCTCAAAATTTCTTTGCGAAAGATTCAGGGTTGCTCAAAGTTAACATGCATGTAACTATCACTA